TTCTTGTGCTTGTAGAAATATCCAGAGTGGTCTTTTTTTGACAGTGGGTTAAGAGGCTATTGCTAAGCCACAGACATATTTATTTTTTCATTCACTCTCCTTCCATTGTTGTCCTATCGGGACAGATGGAGTGGAGTCTTTTGGAGTCCAATCCAGTTCTGTCGTCCTTTTCCTCTTTCATGCAGCTGTTTGTCATCTTACTGACAGTTGCCTGCCACACAATGTGCCGAACCTCTAACAACACTAAAGCTAATCCAATAGTGCATTTCATTTCTATTTTCACTGCAGCTAGATGCAAGGGAACCTTACATAGCAGAGATGTGGCGAGAATGTCCTTATCCTTCTCAGCGCGGCTTAGCTCGTGCTTGAGAGATGATGTGGCTTCAGTCGCTGCCTTCTACCCTCCGTCTTTTCCCAGTTTAAAATGTGATCACTCTTGAAGAAAGCAGCCTCTTTCTGCTCTGCAGGAGGTGGAACAAACATCACCCATTTAAAGAGTCTTAGTTGAGGACTGGATTTTTTTTTCTTTTATGGAGACAGCGCGTGGCAGAGGAAGCATGTGTGTGCTGTTGTGGAAAGAGGTGGGCACCGTAATTGGATCTGAGGTGTGGTCAAACAGTTTTACAAATAGGCAGGTTTTAACAAAAAGTTTGTAACACCAACAAATGACTATGTGAACGATTTCACAAAGATCTGCGTATTTTTCACTGAGGCCGTTTTGTTTTTTTATTTTAAAATCCAATTTGTATATATTCAAATATTCAAATCAAATGTTCCTGAAACGAGCAAGCGTGGGGGGATGAAAGCCTGCAGAAAACCATGAACTTCAACAGAAAGAAAAAAGACCTGGATTTAGTCATGTTACGAATAAATCACCTTAAATGTCATTTGTAATGGTTGTATACTGTATAACAGAACATTTTGGCAGGATGAGCAACACAAATCGCCCCCCACCGTTCTCATGTTTAGGGTAGGTTAGGCTAGGTTAAATTGCATATCCCCTAGATATCCACACTAACTCTTCTTATTTAATGATGCGGAGGAGGACGGCTTACTTTACAGAAGTGCTAGTTTGGCTCTGTCAGGTGTATTTTCACACTAAATTTTAGGAGGAAGGTCACATATAAGAATGTGTTATTATTATTTTCTGGAAGACGTTGCACAGGACAGGAGGAAATCTGACTGATTCTAAAGATAATTGGTCTGCTAATGTAGCAAGTATGACGACCAATAACACTTTAACATTAACTAATGCTGAAGCTCCAACATCAGTCATGATTGAAGCTTTACTTTCACCAATATATAGGCTACCTGGTTATTCTTTGCCTCTCTGAAAGACTGTGACAGCAGGCTCTGGGTCCGTCTGAGGGATTTACTTCCTCCTCTCTTCAATTCTTTCAGTGCTTGTTCTCTTTTTAGTGGTCCTTTATGTCTTTATATAAGTTGGTGGTGTTGCCACAGTAGTGAATTTCCTTCCAACACACATTGCAGTTTGCAGTTATTTAATGTAATGGTGTAAAGTGCTTCAACACGATGCTTGCATTCAAAGAAGAACTTTGAACATCCTTCAAGAAGCCTGGAGAACTATTCATTAAGACTACTGTGAAGAAAAGTGTGACTGTTTATCTTTTAGAACTGTTCCTTCTTAAGTCAGTAAAATAAAGACTTGCTTTTATTCTGTTAATGTTGTGAATCTTTGAGTAAAGAAAGGAAAGTACAGTTCCTTCTGATTAAAAGGGTTGTATGAGACTATCTAAATACTTCTAAATACTACTGATTTATGTTTCCTGCTTACTTGTAAGGCCAATAGAAATAGAAACTAATGGCCTCTGAATTATTGTGGGGATAAGTAAAATTTTGATAAGCTTGATTAAAAAATGCAATGTAATTTTCGTCTACTATATGCAAATGAATATTAAATGCAAATCCTAGTTGATATAATTAAAGGAAAAGGTTAATTTTAGCATTGCTCAGTAGAATTTGTCCACTGGAACCAATTGTAAATGCCAAATAGCCAATGTACAACTAGCCAATGTACTCTAGTATTGGGTACTGTGGATTTATTGGCCCACGTGGCACCACAGTTTGTTTCCATGGCAGAAGGATGTGGTTCTTGCCTTATGTGTGTCATGTGAGTATCTGTAACTCACAACTGAATTGATTTAAAGGTTGGAGAGGCCTGAAGCCTACCCTTGCTGCAATAGTTTAAGAGGTGGGGGACAGCCGGACAGGTCGCCAGTCTGTAAAGAGCGTTAGTTTGAAGCTGAAATTCTTAATGTGTATAATAACCCAAGTTAAGGAAGGGACGGAGAAGGTGCCAGTGTTGTGAAAAACTATGAACTGGAAATGACAATCCACATATTCTCAGGTTGCTTTTGTGTTTTACACCAGTGTGTGCGCGACAACAAGTGTACATGATCCATCTGCACACGAGGCCTCTCGTTCTCCATCGCTGTGTATTTGTGGAGGAAGGTGAACGAGCCCCACCCACAGTGAAAGTCAGGAGCATCGAAGCAGTGGAACAAGAAATTACAGCAGAATGACTTCCTTCTTATAAAACTGAAGCTTTCTACACAGCAGACACGATTCCTCTCTTGGTTAGTAGTTATTTTAGTGCATTCTTGGGTCTGTCTTTTCATCCTCCATTTCTCTTTACTGTTCTTGAATGTTGCGATGGAGCATCTCCCAGCTGTTAACTGTTATGTTACCGGCACTTTTGATTAAAGCCGCAAGTAAGAGGGATCGCATTTAATAGAGGTCCATTCTCCCTGCACTCATCATTGCTCCCAGTGGTCGTTGATAAATCAATATGCAGGACATTTTTACTGGTATAGCACCCAGCTCTGTCTACAAAGTTATGAATATAAATATACATTTGTCTTTACGTGTGCTTTTGCATTAAATTTGAAATATAAAAGTTGTATAACTTACAGCTCAAAGCTCACATTACTTTGCATGTATATATGATTTATGTCATTTCAAGTGACTTTATGGCTTTGAGTATTTAAGGTCCAGCTAAAAATAAAAATAATAATAATAACAGTAATAATAACTCTCTCAGAATTACAGAAATAACTTACAAATTCAATGTTTTGTCATCCCAGGATGCCAGCACGTAAATTACTGCCTGTCAGAAAACACTGGCAATGGCAATATTAGACTCGGAGAGGTAACGGTCCTCTTCTAAAAAGGGAAAAAGGTCCACATTTGGTAGCTGGAGGGCTGTTGGTGAAATAAGTCACCAGTTAGTCAGCCAAGAGCCATTGATTTGTGTCCAGTTTGGGAGCATTGTGCTTTCCCCTTTCCGTTTCACTTGCTTTTTGCTTTGGTTTTCACTCACTGGTCTTATTAAGCACAAAACAAAAACAAAAAGAGACCTACTTGGTTACAATTAGGACAAGATTGTGGTTTGTGGTGAAATGCTCCATTTAACAACATTATCCCTGCAAATTAAATAACGACACTAACCCAGTATGTTAAATTTGACGCCACAGGGTCTTTCATATTTGTAACATGCACGTCACCAGTGCCAAAATCCAGTGTGTATCAGTGTGTGTTTGTAAGTTGGCAGTGGCTTTAGAAAAAACAAAAAACAGCTGCATATGAGTCCCCGGAAATGTTTTGCTTGAAATTTCTTTGGTTAATTTATAGGATCCACTGCTTGCCCACTGCTTACTTTCTTTCCACTATTTTCAACCACACACACACATGTTTCTTTCATATGTTCATAAATAGTATTAGTAATGTATGAAGCATATGGTTCCTTCAGTCTTGTAGGATCTCTATGTCCTAATTAGACAGCTTAATTTATTTTGACATGATTACTTTTGTCTATTTAGAACATACAGTAATTATCAAGGCTTTCTGGTGGTCGATACTTAATAATAAAGGAATTCACCCAATGTTTTCCAACTTAAGTTGCAATATAGGAAACTTGTGAACAGATGCATGTATGAATGCATACTCATAGCACCATCAAAGAAAAAGGAGTGGCTGCATAAAGTACTTTATTTTCTCATTTTTAGATACGGTTCACCGTGCCCACCCCTCCCAGACTCGCCCACAAGAGACTTCCATTAATTCAGCACAACCCTCTCAAGGCTTCATCAATGTTAATCAGAGCTAAACATAACATTAGATTCACTTCAGCTGCTTTGAAAAAGGCTCGAAGGCATGCATATACATGCATGGCTACGGGATGTTTGTTTGTGTGAAAGTGTGTGCAGTCGAGAGGCTTTGATAAAATCAGTGCTTGAAGGGGGGGCAAGAACATTACATGCACTTATAAACTTTACGTCAAGTTATGCGGTGCTGTTAACACTGTTATCACGCAAGCAGCTGTTACATCCAGAGAAGCCTGCTGCTACTGCTTATTCTCACATTTAGATATATTCATTTCCTCTAAGAAAATTAATATGAGCAGAAGCTAGCACCCATTGTGGATTATCATCAATGTAATGTATCAAATATTTCTTTTCATGTTATATCTACATGAATATTTGCTATTTATGATAAATATTTATTTTTGAATGCATTTTGGATTTTTATTTTTTAAAAAGTTTTTTTCTTTCACTTTTCTACAGTTTATGATTATATTAAGTAAAGAAAACAGCTTTGAAAATCAGTGGCAATGGGTCTGATGGAGCGATAGATTCCAGTTTTTAAATTGTGATTCAAATAGCCATAAATACATACAGAGGAGAGGCATAAGTGAGTGTCTACAGCCTCCTTAAAAGCACTGAGGCTCTGTCATGGTTTGGGTCTACAGTTGAGCAACTGGTGTTGGATATCACGTCAAAATTGATTAACTTATTTACACAGAGAAGTATAGATATTGATCCAGCATGGAATGCTATCTGATTGGCAAAAGTGACATTTTAGCATAACAATCATCCGAAACACACTGCCAATGCAATAACAGCATATCTGGAGAACACACAATGAAACACTATCAGTCATGAATACATGTATACATGTCACCCAACAAAATGCATCCTCACCTGCAACACCAAGCTTTGGTCAAAGTTGTAGGCACTGGGCCGACCTTCCAGTGTGGAGAAAGCCACGTTTCCTCCAGTGAGGGGTGAGATATCGCTGAACTCGTCTGTACATAAAGCAGTCCTTTCATCATCCCCTGGGCGAATGTAACCTTTAGCGTCTCTCTCATAGGTCTTTCGGCAAGAAGCGCTGTAATACTGGTAAGGTAACCAGGGCCCATCGTTTTCTGTACGCTTGTAGATGGCAAAGCTCTCTGGTCGACTGGTGTAGAATTTCAGTCGTATGTAGGTTATCTCAAAGGATTTCCCTGTGAAAAACAAATAAAATATGAATTAAAAGGTCTAAATGAGTACAGACAATTTCAGATTTAATTTGTGAAAAAGAAAAAAGCAATCACTGCAACTAATAGCTCGAACACAATTGAGGAGATGCAACCAGATTTTTCATTTGACTTGCTGTTGAGGATTTAGCAAATCTGCTCGTCTTGTGCTGTATTTGTTGCATCGTAAATAAAGAAATACAAAGTGTTGGTTCAAAATACATCAACTAGATCAGCGGTCCCCAACCTTTTTTGCACCAGAGCCCGGTTTAATGTCAGACAATATTTTCACGGACAGGCCTTTAAGGTGTCGCAGAAAAATACAACAAAATAAAATGATTCAACCCAGACAAAAACAAAAATAATAATAAACATGAATTCACTGTCTAATTGTGTAACTTTACTCCCGAAAAGGCCCTTTAATGCTCTCTGGTTGCTATGGTAACATATAAATATTTCTTTCAAAATAAGACACACAACTACAACATGGAAGAAGACCAAGGGAAACTGAGTTAATGATAAAAACCCTGAAAGCCATAACTTTTACACCCGAGCCTCAACTCTCGCACCTCGGTACCAAACAACTCACAGACTGGTACTGGTCCATGGCCCGGGGGCTGGGTACCGCTGACCTAGATACATTTGTGATGGTATGAGAGGAAGAAGTTATAAAAGGATGCCACTAACAGTTGCCCACCGGTTTGCATGCCAGAGTCAGGAGGGGATATTTTTCTTTACAGCACTTCCTGTTTAGACAACTGCAGTAGGGAGGTCAGTGATTAATGCTATAGCTCTTGTCCTAATATAGAAAGCTGACATCTTCTTCCTGAATCAATGCTTCTTTTTGATTGAGGGGTGTTATTACCCCCACTGTTTACTCATTGTTGACAGTTCAAACAATAACCTTGGTGCCATATCGTGGGGGATTAACTGGGTAGACACAAAATGAAGTCATATTGAGACCAGAATGAGAAGAAGCATGTAGAAACTCTCTTAACAGTCTTCTTCAGTGCACTCTGGGGTATTTTTTCTACATCATTAGATACTAAGTCTCAATCGCTCTGCACATTCGTGGAGGGGTGCTATCCGCTGGTACAGCCGTAATGACATCTGTTGCTATTTTTCTGCCAAGTCAGAGCTAGGCATCTTTGTCTCTTGTCTCTGCAGAAATCTCTAATGGTATCATTCCTTTGGGATCTCTAAGATCATTTAGCTTTCATTTACTCACTGCGTGAGGTGAGCTCAGCCCTGCTGGGACACAGGCAAGAGACATAAAAGATGCACAATATGAAGCAATTGTTGGATATCCCCTGTGATGAAATGTAGACTAATTGCAAATGATATTTGTATGTTTTTATGCCTAATGTTTAATGATTCATGATCCATATTCACTCAGGAGTGCATTAAAATATTCATTAGTTTATGTGGGATTTTTTAGGGATTTTTTAGTTGTTGAACTTAATTTAGCAAAGTAACATATAACAAAAGAATACCTGTACACTGTGTACAATGGTGAAATGCATCCAAATAAGTAGCATTCTTACACTTCAGGGATGTAAAATGAACATCTAATCCTTTTTATGAATAATGTACAATTATATTTTACTATCATGAAAAACTCTAAAAGTTATACAATATTAAGTGGTCAAAGAAGTGTATTAAAAATCATACTCCCTGAAAGTAGTGTTGTAGATATGTACTACTTGTAACTTAATACCAAGGGGGACGCTATTGAGCACTGAAAATTAAGTTTGCACGGCCGGTAAAACAGCCTTGTTTGACTTTACAGAGCAGATCTAGAATCATGTGCATTAAAGATCCAGCCTAAGCTTTCAATGTTTTCTCCAGATACATAAACGCACCGTGGATATTTTGACAATGTTTACTGAGAATAAGCGTCGTATGCTGGAGAAGTTCAATGTCTGACTTGTTCTGACTCATCCATGTCAACTTGACACAGCTACTCTCATCTGCCCAGACTAAACCCAACACAAGCACTGTAGACTGTTTACATTCTGTTTAATCTCCGAGCGGAGATTTTTGAAATCAACAATCAAATATGGGAGTGGATTTGTCCTCTGCTCACGCTATATCTCAGAGTTTGAGACCAATTCTTACTCTGTGACAGGATTACGTGTCCTATGTGAGCCGATGCTCAGGCTGTGAAGGCGTCCCGCCGAATGAGGCAGACTTTTATCGTTGTTTTACATCAGAAACAGGATGTTGCTTTTCTTTCACTGCGCTGAATGAGAACCAGCTGCAGACATCAGTGGGTGCTGTTAGAATGTGTGTGTGTGTGTGTGTGTGTGTGTGTGTGTGTGTGTGTGTGTGTGTGT